AGGTATTCTGTGAATACTTCAAGGAGCTGGAGGAGGAGAGCATCCGGGACAACTTTGTCATTGTCTATGAGTTGCTGGATGAGCTCATGGACTTTGGCTTCCCGCAGACCACTGACAGCAAGATCCTGCAGGAGTGAGTGGAGCCCTGGGGGTAGCCATGGGCTGGACCATGGGTGTAGGGAACTGGAGGAGGTCCAGGGAGGTGTCCCTGGGTCCAGCTGCTTGTCCCTGCCGCCCTCCTGCCAGGTACATCACTCAGCAGAGCAACAAGCTGGAGACGGGCAAATCACGAGTGCCACCCACTGTCACCAATGCTGTGTCCTGGCGCTCTGAGGGTATCAAGTATAAGAAGAACGAGGTCTTCATCGATGTCATAGAGTCTGTCAACCTGCTGGTGAGCCCACACACCTCCCTCGGACCCTTTCCAGGGCCTGGCTGTAGGAGAGGGGGCTGGATGCCCGCTGACCACCCCCCAACGTCCACCCTCAGGTCAATGCCAACGGCAGCGTCCTGCTGAGCGAGATCGTGGGTACCATCAAGCTCAAGGTGTTTCTGTCGGGAATGCCTGAGCTGCGGCTGGGCCTCAATGACCGTGTGCTCTTTGAGCTCACTGGCCGTAAGTATTTAGGGGACCTCTCTTCTGAGAAGTGCACAGTGGGAGCCAGTGAACCCATCCCACATGAGGACCTGGAGAATGGCAGCCGGTTTTGAAATAAGCGCGTGCTCACCCTCTGCTGGTCACGGCCAGTATTGCAGCCATTGGTTGACCGCAAAGGCTGTTTCATGATGGAGCGACTCTTGGCTGCCAGGCGCATTTTTAAGGTCTGAGGACACAGCAGAGAAGAAAAAAGACAAACCCATGTTTTTACGGAGCTGACATCCTGCTGAAAGGAGGAGACAGAATAGTATCATATGTATTCATTTATTTTGTATCGGGGTCTCGTTCTGTCGCCCAGGCTGGAGTGTAGTAGTGTGATTGTAGCTCATTGCAGCCTCGACTTCCGAGGCTCAGTTGATCCTCCTACCTCAGCCTCTCGAGCAGCTGGGACCACAGGCAAGTACCATCTAATTTTTAATTTTTTTTATAGAGACAGGGATCTCATTATATTGCCCAGCTTGGTCTATACTCCTGGCCTCAAGCGATCCTCCTGCCTTGGCCTCCCAAAGTGCTAGGATTACAGGTGTGAGCTACCGTGCCTGGCTTAGCATCATATTTAAAAGCTAGATGGCTGGGCACGGTGGCTCATGCCTGTAATCCCAATACTTTGGGAGGCTGAGGAGGGTGGGTCATGAGGTCAGGCATTTAAGACCAGCCTGGCCAACAAAGTGAAACCCCATCTCTACTAAAAATACAAAAAGTTAGCTGGGTGTGGTGGTGGGTGACTGTAATTCCAGCTACTCAGTAAGCTGAGGCAGGAGAATCACTTGAACCTGGGAGGCAGAGGTGGTGATAGTGAGCCGAGATCACATCACTGCATTCCAGCCCAGGTGATAGTATGAGACTCCTGTCTCC